TTCTTTTTTCCTATTAGAAAATTTTCTATCCTTTGGAAAAGGGAGAAGAAAAAAACCCCTGTTACCTCAGCCTCAGCCCACCCTCCCCTAAGAGAGAAGTCTTACCGGCATGACCACCGCTGACCAGTAGTATTACCAGCAGACAGACCCCGTGGCATGTTGAGGGACGGGGACCCCTCATGATCACTCTGGAGTTGTGTCAACACTATCTGCCGGTCAGCATTCGAATCTCCGCTGTTTGGGCTTTTATGGTCCACTGAATCCCAAAGGTCTGGTGGAAGTATCAGATTCAAAATCGTAAATAAACGGTGAAAAATAGAAGGGACATGTATTATAAAACAATTCCAAATAGTCCAAAACAAAACAGGATAAAAAGAGCGGTGTCCGGGTGCCTAGTAAGCAGAAATTTGGGACTTACAACGTTCTGGTTTCGCTCTCAAGCGAAATATACACATAAAGAGTTCCAAAACATGGATTAACATAAGTTTTTTCTACAGGAGTAGTGTACTTCGTTATTTTCAAGGGAGGGGGTAGGGTGCAGGTGACTCAAAGGGGTTGGGTCGGTAGGAACAATAGCATCGTTGTATAATATATTATTATGGTAACAGGATAAGGAGGCTTTACTCATTTTTATCGCACCCCCCACCCTCCCTTTGCTTTCCATGTACCCCCAAGAGGCATTGATATTGAAGCATCTTTTTCCGAGATGTCTATGATTTTTTAATTATTTGGCAGGGGGCTCTCCTCACGGCTTGATGCATACAACAAAGTCGGGTCATAAGCTGTTTCTTGGTTTGCGGGTTTACGACTTTCTACATGAGATAGTACAGTTTTATCAGCCATATCCTGTATTTTGTGTCCGCTTTTAACGTTATGGAATGTGAGTTGGGCGACTTGCATAATCCTGGCTACCGGGAAATATTCTTATAAAAATCAAAGCATATCAACAAATAATTATTGTAGCAACAAATCCATATGGAAAGCATATAAACCAATATAGAAACAGAAAACAAGAATATCATGGTTCACAAATTGAAGCACTTGCTGCAAACAAACACGAGAGTCCCTGTAAATTCTGAAATACAATGCTACACGAATATGCCACACAGACACACACACACACGAAAAAATAGAAACACAGGTTCTCAAACAGTGTGATTACTGGTATTACCAGAAACGCTTTCCACCGGCAAGGGGGATAAAGCCAGTGACCGGAGCCCGATGTCTCTTTAATATAGCCTACCTGGTGGCACTTCCCTGGTCCGCGATTCAGAAGCCTGGTTATTGCAGGCTTTCAACCTGCGCACAGAATGTGAGGCGGAACCGCGGTTGGCAGGGGAGAGACACGGGACAATAGAATGGGGACCGGGTGGAGAATGGGTGGGGTTGGCGACGTAGCCATGGGGTGGTCTACCAGTTGTTTGCCCAAGAAATGCATATAATTACTTGTTTTAGCTAAGAGAAGCACACAGACATGGTTACGGCCTCTTAGTTCAGGGCGGAAATCAAAACTGATAAACAGAAACAATACAGGGGAAAGGAAAGAGCTAGGCCATGACAGAGGCGCCCTCCAAGGGCCCCTGCGCATTTCCCAGCGCGGCATTGTCAAGGCATTATTCTTTTTTTTTTAAGGTGTGGGAGATTTTTTTTTTCTTTGGGAGGGGGGATTAAACCGGATTTCGGGGCATTGACGGGCGCGATTAGCATCGCTGTAGCTAAAAGTTTTGTAAACTTTGGGGCGATCTTGGCTGCAAGCTTCACTCAGAGCAATCCCTGTAGTGGCATTTCTCAGGTTATCCGTATTTCGACTTTTAAAAAAATCGTTTACAGTCTTAACAAACTTCTTGAATAGATCATAAAAATGCAGAAGATACCTTGAGAGTGAGACAAGATGAAAAATAATTGGTTATTTTTTATGCTTTTTTATTGGCTGAAGAAAAAGGTTTCAAAATAAAATACTTAAAGTTTCTTTTCTGTTTTTATATAGATTTCCCATCCGACAAGAAGTGAGATAAGATAAGATAAGGTAAGATAAGTCTTTATTATCCAAATCCTGGTTAACTGGTTTGGTGTATCATCATCATCCAACATAAACACACACACACACAACACACACACACACACACACACACACACACACACACACACACACACTCACACACTCACACACAGACACACACACACAAACACACACACAGACACACACACAAACACACACACAGAAACACATGCAAACACAAACGTTTGTGCACACATAGACCTCCATAAAGTCTATAACAATACTACTCAAATAGGGACCAACGGGGGAGGCTTGCCCTGAATGCTGTCATCAGGTGCATGACCTGTTCTTACATTTTTTTACACTCTTTTGTGCCTTTCACTGAAAGGTGCGGAGGGTGATGAGCGGCTGCATTTATATAATATTATATACTAGCTGGAACCCCTTCCGATGAAAAGAATGATCGGTGCATTAACAGCCACTGAAAGTCATTGGCCTACTATATTTACTCTCTACAGGAATGGAGCAATAAATCTTGAGAGATTAAAAAAATTAGAAGGTCTAGAGAACCTAGTTAAGATGTAGAGATGTATAGGCCTAGATTGATTCTCTATTCCGCATTCGTGGTTGTACACTCCAGAATTTCAAAGGTGTGGAAACAGTGCGCACGGCTATTGAACGGAAAACTCACTTGTTTACAATGACGTCTTAGAAGACGGACTTTCTCAAGATTAGATCTAACCGAAACTAATTAAAAACTGAAAATTACACTACAATGACTTCAGCCTCCTCAGTAAAACTGTGCACCCTTTAAACGATTCTGAACCACTGTTAATCTTTTCAAATTCAGAAGTTAAATGGTTCCGAAGTTTAGGCGGCCAAGGTGAAGAACTTTCACAAATTAATATGTAGCCTATATTTTTATTCGTGAAGACTCAAATGATTTGTTGCCCACTGTAAATGCTGCTCTCCAGCTGGGTGTGTCTGGAGCAATGCTCTCCCGTACAGAAGTATTTATGTTGAAGTCCTTCAGAGGTATTTTCGGGTTGTCTTTGTGTAGTTATTTTGCTTTTTGGTGCGCCAGCCTTACGCTTCCCTTGGGACAGTCCAGAATTGAATACTCCCTTTGGGATTAAGAAATCTAGCATTGTTACGATTTGGCCATCCCTGAGAAATTGAGTTCTTTTTAATTTGAAAAACAGACTCTCGCCCTTTGCCCTTTTGAGTACTTTGGTTTTTGGTATTTTATCCTGCGATTTGATGCCAAAAATTCTACAAAGGCATTTCATGTGGAAATGATTAAGCTCCTTGGCATTGCTTTGGTACACCGCCCTGGTCTCAGCACCATAAAACAGGGTCGGGAGGACCACAGCATTGTAGAATTTCAACTTTGTTTCTGTGCGAACGCCACAGCAGTCTGAAACCCTTGCTCTGAGTCTTCCAAAGGATGCACACGCTTTATTCATTCATAGGTAAATGTGTCTCTGCATCGATACAGGCATTTGAGGATAGCATACTGCCCAGAAATTTAAAGCTATCAATAATGCTTTTTAAAATCATATTAATATATATCATCTAGGTCAGGCTGGAAGAGAATTGCTGTCTTTTGCTGAAGTATATTATGTGATGAATTATATATTATTCCTATATGTATATAAATAAATATACATAAATATATTTTATATATTATTATAATGTATATCCAGTTTGTGAATGACACCGACAAAATACATAATATATAAT